CACACACACACACACACACACACACACACACACACTGTGCTCCCAAGGACTGATTCAGCCTAATGATTCTCAGTATTATGGGAGGCAGGTGCTGCTGTTTAGGAGGCAGAATCATAGGAGGAGACAGACCACCCACCCTTAGTGAATGCTAGCCTTGTGTGGCTGGTCCCAAGGTGCAGCTCAGCCCCTGCTCCCTAGGGAGGTGATGGGCATCACTGCGTCTTACCTTCCTTTCCTTCCTCTGACTCAGGCACTGAGTATTTACTCATTGTTGCACTGGGCCCTGTGCAACAACACACTGTGCTCATTACCGGAACTCCAGAGACAGCCTTTGCCCTCAAGGAGCTCAAAGTCTAGCTACTGGGAGGCAGAATATACAGGACGTAATTATGAAAATAAAGTCCCGTGTGGTGCAGGGCAAGGGAAAGGCAGCAATATGCTGAAGAAAGATGGAAAGTACAGAGAATAGTACAGAGAACAGTGTCAGTAACGTGTAGAAGAAGGAATACTGTGGCATAATCAGTAGACAAGGAGAAGGCTTGTTTGACCTAAAAAGATATTAATACAGGACAAAGTGGGAGACAGCTATGGGAAAATGTGACTATGATTGAAAATGTGACTATGAAAATGTGACCAAGCTAAGGATTTGAGATTTCATCCTGTACGTGAGAGAGTGAATCACATACTAGTTTGTGGTATTTGAGATACTTTTAGGTAGTCAAGAGATACATTTTTTTTCCTACTTTAATACTTTTGTACTTATTTTTAACGTATTTTAAATCAGTGCTTCTCAAATTTTTAATGTGTACATAAATAATCCAAGGATCTTGTTAAAATGTAGAGTGATTCCCATCGGTCTGGATTGAGCTTAAGATTCCACATTTCCAGCAATAGACCGCACTGTGAATAGTGATATTCACAGTGCCAGCTGTGAATACCACTTACATTCACCTGACATTCACAGTGCTAGCCTTTTTTGTTGTTGTTTTGAAACAACAACTGTTGTCCAGGCTGTACTGCAGTGGTATGATCACGGCTCACTGCAGCCACAAACTCCTGGGCTCAAGCGATCCTCCCGCCTCAGCCTCCTGAATAAATAGGACTACAGACGCATTACCACATCTGGCTAATTTTGAAAATGTTTTGTAGACATAGAGTCTTGCTACATTGTCCAGGCTGGTCTTGAACTCTTGGCTTCAAGCAATCATTATGCCTTGGCCTCCCAAAGCGCTGGGATTACTGGCATAAGCCACTGTGCCTGGCCAGTGCTGGACTTTTGAACCTCACATTTATCCTCAAAGCATTTATCCTCCAGGTCCCCAGGCCCAAAGGCTTCACTCCCACACACCACACACACACTCTTTCTCTCTCTCTCTGCCCATCTTTCCCGCTGTTGGAGTGGGGTGTGGGATGCAGCAGGCATATGGGTAAGAGCCATTAAACTGGATAAGAGGTTGCTAGGGCTGCCTCTTCTCTAGGAATAACCAGAGACCTCTAGCCAGTGGACACTTTCATTGTTGGCCAACACCTCCTTATCCCATTCAAGAGTCAGCTGGTTGAGGGTGAAACATTTGTTTGATTTCATAGTGTATTCCAGCACCCCAAAATCCTCTAGTGCAGAGAAAGCACTTAATAAATATTTGTTGACTGATATATCAGGAAAAGCAATTTGTGGGGCTGATTTCAATCACTCATGTGGCCAGGGAGGAGAAGATACATTTTTATGGTTTTCAAAGCTATTATCATCAACACAATTGTAAAGAACTTTAGACCTGCCTGGATACATCTGATAAAATTTATATTCTTAAATTTTTACTTTCTCAGTTTTCAAATGGTTAGGTTTGTGCTGATTCCTACAGTCAAGGGAATCACAGGAACTCCACGCAAATAATAAATTCCTAAAAAGGAAAGGCGGCTTCAGAAATCCACAGAATTCAAGGCTTGGGCGCCCTCTATTGGTTCTTATAATTTACAACCTGGGAAAATCTCATCAATAGATGCTGCTTGGGGACCTAGAAACCCAGACCTTCAGTGGAGAAGCTGATGTGACACTGGATTTATGCAGTCTTTCGTATTCACTACATCTTGTTTCTCCAGCATTTAAGCCATGAAGAGAAAGCTCTTTCAAATTAACATATACCTCTATGTATATGGTACACAAGGGCAGAATTTTTTTTAAAAATTATGAAGAGGAATAAAGAGGAAATAAGGGAGTAAGAAAATATTTGCCAAATGTTTAGTGGCTTTCTGAAGCAACTCATAAAAAAACCTTTGCGCAGTGCTCCCTTGTTGCTACGACCAGCATTCCATTCGGATGACGTCAACTGAAGTTCACAAATATATGTTCTGTTTCTCATCAATAGGACTGAATGCAACTACCTTTGGTCACTGGAGACTCAGCTTTAAAAACTGAATTTCATTATTGGGACACAGATGACATTGTTTCTACATTATGTCAACTAAACACCAAGTAAACATGGATTATTAGGGTCTGTGACAGCAAATGAACAAGAGAATATTTCAACTTTACCTGGATTTGGCTGAAGATATTCAGTGGTTTTTGAAAGAATTTCTGCAACAGCTTTATTGGTAACATCTATTTTCTTAAAAGCAAAATTTTAAAAAGTTAGTAAATGACAAACTCAATAAATTCACAAAAGAACAGAGGAGTAATTTTCATTAATTTAATTTTTCTAACACCATTATGATGATTTTAATCCAAATGAACGTTTTCAACATTTTTGGGAGATGCAATATTTTCTCACTTTCTGATTTTTGGAACATCACTTCCTTCCAGTGATGTTGGAGAACATTAATTTACTTTTCCTTTTAACATTAAAATGAACATTAAAGTAATATTTAGAAAATCTGGAAAAGTTATTATGCTCCACTAGATTATCAGATATACTTGGAAGTCTCTCAAAACTAACACTAGACATGAACCAAACTCTCCTTATCTGTTGGTGAACTTGAATTTCTATACTTATATAAGGATGCCACAATAATGATCCATATTAGCAACTGCCTCAGTAATCAACAATAAAAGAATCATAATCATTAGTATTATAATACAATGAACATACTCATTTGTGCTAGGTCAGATGTTAACATCAAAGTTTTCTCCAAACGTTCCCTGAAAGTTAACCCTTTCTGGTTAAGACTGAATCTTTCCTTCTGCAAAACCATTCCTGGACTTTCTGGTTCTTAGTTAACCAGAGAGCTAATATGGGAATAAACAATAAAGTTAAAATGCAAGTTGCAATAGCTTTATTTATACCATCAATAGGCCAAAAGAAAATGTAAAGAAAAATATCTCATTCATAAAAGCAATAAAAATGTAATAACAAAGAATAACCATTATGAGAAATTCACAACACCTATTTGAAAAATCACATTCTTAGATGGTAAAACTCAATTTTGGAAAGATATGCATTCTTCCCAAATTAACATGCAAAATTCATCCAAATCCCATCATAATTTCAATTTTTTCTTTTTTTTTGTTAAAATTTGGCAAACTGATAAAGTGAGTCTTCATACTATATACATGATTTAAAATATCAACCTAAAAAAATCAGACTATAAAACGACTAACATATAGAGGAGAGTATTTTGAAATACTGGAGTGGGAAGAAACTTCTAACCAGGACCTGAAATTCAAATGTCATAAATAAAAAGACCAAAATTCCGACTCCATAAAAACTCAAAAACTGAACACGAAAAGATACAGTATGTGACATTTGCCAAAAGTGGCAAACAAAAATATACAAAGGACAAAGGGTTAGTATCCGTAATATTCAAAACTCCCATTAAAACAAACAGGAAAGAAGGAAAAGGCTGGGCATGGTGGCACACACCTGTAATCCCAGTACTTTGGGAGGCTGAGGCAGGTGGATCACCTGAGGTCAGGAGTTCAAGACTTGGCTGGCCAACATGGTGAAACCCTATCTCTACAAAAATGCAAAAATTAGCCGGGCATGATGATGGGTGCCTGTAATCCCAGCTACTCGGGAGGCTGAGGTGGGAGAATCGCTTGAACCTGGAAGGAGAAGGTTGCAGTGAGCCGAGATCACACCACTACACTCCAGCCTGGGCAACAGAGCGAGACTCCAGGTCTTAAAAAGAAAGAAGGTAAAGAGGAAAAACATAAGCTGCCTACAAAGATTTGAAAAAAATATTCAGAACTGTAAATAAAAAGGAGATACTTTACATTCTCCAGATTGATAAAAGCATTTTTAAAATCAGTTATACTCAATATCAGGTATTATATGGGTGTGGAGTAATGGGTCATTTCATACACAACAGGAATGCAAAATGATATGTTTTTGGAGGTCAAGGGAGAAGTTCTTATTAATGGACATATTAATGAGCCAGGTATTATACTTCTAAGGATTTAACCTTTTAGAAACACACCAGCAAATTGCAGTGAAGGAAAAACATGTTTGTTAGGCCATCTTATGTAATATTGAAAATGGAAATCAATAGGAGACTGATTGGATACATTATGAAACATCCAAGTAAAGGAATACTCTTTCATCATAAGGAAAAAAAATAAGGAGGATCGACATTCAAAGTACATACAAAGGAAGAAAGCAAGCTGCAGAGTGATTTATAATAGAAGACAGATCATTTTTGTAATTTAGAGAACTATGATCCTGCTAGGGTCACAAGTTCGCAAGCAAGCAATCTTATCCTGCCTGAAATCGCATTTGTTCCCCTTAGCTAAATACATTAATTTGGACTAAATAAATTAATCTGGAGCCCCAGGAAAGTTTTAAAAGACAGTATAGAAATGATAAAAAAGAAAAAAAAAGGAGTCAAACCTATATTACTGATACACGTGTGCTGTGTGTGCAAGTGGGCATGTGCGTGTGCGTTAGGCCTAGTAACAAGTTTTGTGACTTTGAGATCTCTTTGGTACATTCAGCTATTTGCCAAGATCGTTAAAATGTTTAAGAGAATCCAATAACCTAGATATTTATGTCTTATTAGTCACAAGAAATGTTAAGGACTTAGGAAAATGCTGTTAATAGATTTTATGTGAAGTTTGAGGGAGTCCTATACATTGCCTTTGTGATTATAGCTTGAAATGTCTAAGGGAATTTACTTAATTATAGAACTGGTGGTAAATATTTAAGGATTGAATCTGTTAAGCTTATGTGTTAATTAATGCAACCTTGAATGAAAATTAACTATAATGATTATCATCTTATAGCAAAATTACTAAATTTGGAAATAAGATTCGTAAGTTCAGCTTAAAGCTTAAGAAAACTGAGGATTTTAGATTTATAATGTAACAAATTAGATATTAGTTAAAACATAGTGTTCCCTTTGATATATACAACACTTTTTGGACATGAAAAGCCATCAGAAAGCTGAGTCACTTCCGAAAGAAGATGATGATGATGATGATGAGAGGAATTAGAATGGGGACATTTTCTACTTCAGATCTTTTTTTATATCTTTTGAAACAAAAAAGCCCAAGAAACAAATGACCAAAAACTTGCAAGGGCCTCGTAGGCCCTGACATGCACATACTGGAGCTGCCTCCACACCAGCTCAAGCATCAAAACTAGAAATAAACCCTTTACAAATTGAAGAGTAAATATGCTGGCTAATGTGGAGTCAAGATGAGCATTAAAAACAAACAAACAAACAAAAAAACAACAAAAACTCATGTAGCTTAAAAACAAACAAAATCTCCCTCCTAGAATAACTAAGGACACTATTTTTTTTGTGTGTGTGTGTGTGTGTGTGTGTCTGTTCACATCTACCAAATGCTATGAAAATATCTTGCCAAACCATTAAGAAAAATAGAGGAAAGCAGAGTGGTAAAAATTATTTTTGTGAAGTCAACCTGGTATGGCAGCATCTTGGTTAGTTAAATCTGGAATTTCTGTTTAATGCTGGCACCCTGCCCATGAGGTGTCCCAAGGGCTGTGCCACTGACTCCCTTAGGCCCAGCCCCTGAGTAAGACAGCTGCTAGCAACTCTCATTTCTGACACTTATATACGGCATTCTCTTTAAAAAATGCTATCAGTGGGCATATCCTCTTTCTTCTTCTTTATGTAATTTATTTGTGTTTTTCCTTTTTCTCCCTCTTGGCCACACTCGGTAGAGGTTTGTTGCTTTACAGCTTTTCTAAAGCTCTTGGCTTTGTAGTTTCGATCTTTTGTGATTATTGTTTTCTATTTTATTAATCTCTTTTTTTATCCATATTGATTTCTACCTTCTACCTAGAGTAATTTAACTTGCTGTTATTTTCCTAGCTTCTTGGATTGCATGATTTATTCACTTTCTCCCAACACTTATTTTCTTTAAATACATTTACAGTTTAGCCACATATCACAGGCTTTGACATAAAGAATTGTCACTCATGCTTAAATAACGTCATTTTACTTTCCATTTCCTCTTTAAACTAAGAATTACTCTTACATATTTTTAAATTTCCAAACATCCAGAATTTAGAAGCCCTACCTTCCCTTATACTTCTTGTGTTCTATGGTATCACTTGGGGAAATTTATCGAGTTTTTTTTTTTCTATAACTTAGTACATAATTGATTACCGTATTTGTCCCAAAGGAATTTGAAAACTATGCACATTCTCCATTTGGGGAATGCAGATATCTATATTTATTTATAATCAAAGTTATTAATCATATTTTATGCAAATCCTCCATGAGCCTATTGATTATTGTCAGTTTAATCTATTATTTTATGAGAGAGGTATGTGAAGTCTACTTATATTTTTATCAACTCTCCATTTATTTCTGACAGCTTCTACCTTACAAATTCAAATGCTATGTTATGTAGTGCAGAATGGTTCATAACCATTATAATTTCCTGATAGACTACATTGACTGTATCTTTTTATAATTAAAAAGCTTTTTTAAATTTAGTGCTTTTCTTGCATCAAATTTTATTATGATTTTACTATTGTTCCTCTATTTTTATATTGTTAGCATTAATTATAGAATATTTTTTCCCACTACTTTGGCATTTCTGTATCATTTTTAGGTGGGTCTAATATCATCTAATGCATCTCTTCCGGAAGGTTTTTAAAATTTCTGGTCATCTGTTATGTTTCCATGCTTTTCACTGCTGCAATAAAACAGATAATAGACTTTATGTTTCTTCTGTAACTCACTGGGGTTTTTGGAGGTAAAAGCAGGTAAGCAAGAAGGATCTCAATCCATTAACTGAAACTGAAACTCTTGAAAAATGCTTTAAAATTTAACATTTCAACTAAATCATTTTGTTAGTAACAAAGCTATACATCACATATTTGTATATTAAGAGTTTTTTAAAGTAATTTAAGGTATGTCAATGGTGTGAACATGTTTCCATGGTTTAAAGGTTCAGAAATTAATTTTTTTCAAGAGCAAAAACAAAATAAGCTTTTCCCCCTCAAGGAATTAACATTTCTAGACACTCAATAGCTCTCATCCAGAGAACAGAGAACTCCCTGGAAGATGAGCTGGCCAGAGCCAAGGTATCCTGAGGAGATACTCTCCTGGGCGGTGGACAGCCTGGGGCTAGACTTCCTCCCCCAGTACCTGCTGACATCTCTGCTACCTACTGTGTCTGCAGCCTTGATGTTACACCTGAGGGTGGACGCCTTGTGTCATTTCCTCCCTCTCTCCTTTGACAGAGGGGGCGGGGCGGGTGTCTAATTATTAAAACAAGGCTATGTTTAAAGGGCCCAGACAATGAGGAAAGAAACAGTATGTTGTTAATACTGGTGGTTCTAGTTCCGCCTCCACATGAGCAACTACACACAGCTGACTGGGAAACATGTTAAGGGACAGAGACGATACCATTTTTCTTTGGAGCATGTTACAATCATTTCTGTCCCAAGCCCTTCATATTTTTTGTAAGTTATTTCAAATATGTTAATGTCTGCATAATTCTCACAAAATCCATTTGAGACAAGCAGGGCACACTTATCATCTCTGTATCAGTTCAAAAAGATGAATTCACTTATCCAAGTTCCCACACTCTGGTTCTAGTGGCAGAACCAGGATAAAAGTTGTTTGCTATGCAGCTCCTGCAACACATGGGAGCAGAACCCAAGTCTTCCACACGGTAAATAAATCATTATGCATTTGAAAAATCTTGTCCCAGAAATACATTTTGATTCTCCAAAATATATACTACCAATTACTTTGGCCTTGCAGTAACTGCCAAGATTGCCCATCTTTTGCACATTCAGACTTCCGTCCACTAGAGGGTACCAGTTAGCCACATCGATCTCATTACTCGACCTGCGCAAACTGGATATAGCTACAGGGGGAGGATCTGATTTGGGCTGGGACGTGGGAAAGCATTGCCTCGTAGACTGCATAATCCACACCTATATTTAAACATCCTAGATTTCCACTCGAATATCCTTTACAATAGCAGTATATCTCATATCACAATGAAAATCAGTTTCTAATCAATTTACAAATTAAAATGCTCTCTTACCCTTTCCATGTCAAGAAATTCATCGTCTAGTTTAGTTCCTTCAGCACCACTTATTTTTTCACTAAATAGCTGCAGAAATAAACATAAATAATTGCACTGTACAATGATTTGTCACAGTTTTTTACCTAAATTATTAAAAACAGAAACAAACTTGGATTCAACTTGTTGGATTTTTTGAACTAAGTCCTTTAAGAAAATTGTTGGAAGGGGTAACCATATCTAAAGGCATAGGAAGACATACATTTCTCATGCAGTCAACAGATATTTATTGTGCACCTACTATGTGTAAAACACATGGTAAGTGCTGTAGGACAAAGACACGAGAGATACTTGTCATCAAGGAACACACAGTTCACCCAAAGAGTCAACACACATTCAACTAAAAAACAAGGAAAGAATAAGAACCATTAAAAAATAATAGTACTAGAGACAAATTATTGTAAATGCACTAAGTGGTAGTCACTTCAGTGATGCACAGAATGGACTTTGAGAACCCACAGCACTGGGAGTGGGTTCATGCAGGATCTGTTTCCTAGAAGATGTGGCATTTGAGCTGGCATTTTAAGGACAGGGAACATTTCATCGGGCAGCATTGAAGAAAAGGCCTGCTGGGATGAGGCACCATGGAAAAAAGAGCCAGGGGCAGGAATGGATACGGCAAGTTTTCTCAGCCCTGGCTCTATTGATATTTATAGCAGATAATTATCTGTTGTGGGGGCTGTCCTGTGCACTGCAAGATGTTTAGCAGCATCCTCGGTCTCTACTTGCTAAAGGCCAGTACTGCAAGCATGGACACACACACACACACACACACACACACTTGTAACAACCAAAAATGTTGCCCAAGAGCTGAGGACAATTTGTGTATGGCCAATGTGCTCAAAAAACATCAATAAATTGTGTTTAACTGTGTAAACTAGCACACAAGGGAGAATGGACGAAAATAAAATCTGAAACTTACGCAACGCCCGGAGCACACAGATTCTCAAATGCCAAGCTAAAGGGTACAAGTTAGAGATCCCTAAAGAGTCTTCATCAAACACAGAGAAACCCTTTAGAAAAGCAAGTCTGCCACCAGTAGGGTTGGATTAAAGAACAAGGAAGACAAATTGGAAGAAAAAAATACGTTCAATCATTTTCATTTACAAATTAAAATGCTCTCTTACCCTTTCCATGTCAAGAAATTCATCGTCTAGTTTAGTTCCTTCAGCACCACTTATTTTTTCACTAAATAGCTGCAGAAATAAACATAAATAATTGCACTGTACAATGATTTGTCACAGTTTTTTACCTAAATTATTAAAAACAGAAACAAACTTGGATTCAACTTGTTGGATTTTTTGAACTAAGTCCTTTAAGAAAATTGTTGGAAGGGGTAACCATATCTAAAGGCATAGGAAGACATACATTTCTCATGCAGTCAACAGATATTCTTCCTCCCCCAGTACCTGCTGACATCTCTGCTACCTACTGTGTCTGCAGCCTTGATGTTACACCTGAGGGTGGACGCCTTGTGTCATTTCCTCCCTCTCTCCTTTGACAGAGGGGGCGGGGCGGGTGTCTAATTATTAAAACAAGGCTATGTTTAAAGGGCCCAGACAATGAGGAAAGAAACAGTATGTTGTTAATACTGGTGGTTCTAGTTCCGCCTCCACATGAGCAACTACACACAGCTGACTGGGAAACATGTTAAGGGACAGAGACGATACCATTTTTCTTTGGAGCATGTTACAATCATTTCTGTCCCAAGCCCTTCATATTTTTTGTAAGTTATTTCAAATATGTTAATGTCTGCATAATTCTCACAAAATCCATTTGAGACAAGCAGGGCACACTTATCATCTCTGTATCAGTTCAAAAAGATGAATTCACTTATCCAAGTTCCCACACTCTGGTTCTAGTGGCAGAACCAGGATAAAAGTTGTTTGCTATGCAGCTCCTGCAACACATGGGAGCAGAACCCAAGTCTTCCACACGGTAAATAAATCATTATGCATTTGAAAAATCTTGTCCCAGAAATACATTTTGATTCTCCAAAATATATACTACCAATTACTTTGGCCTTGCAGTAACTGCCAAGATTGCCCATCTTTTGCACATTCAGACTTCCGTCCACTAGAGGGTACCAGTTAGCCACATCGATCTCATTACTCGACCTGCGCAAACTGGATATAGCTACAGGGGGAGGATCTGATTTGGGCTGGGACGTGGGAAAGCATTGCCTCGTAGACTGCATAATCCACACCTATATTTAAACATCCTAGATTTCCACTCGAATATCCTTTACAATAGCAGTATATCTCATATCACAATGAAAATCAGTTTCTAATCAATTTACAAATTAAAATGCTCTCTTACCCTTTCCATGTCAAGAAATTCATCGTCTAGTTTAGTTCCTTCAGCACCACTTATTTTTTCACTAAATAGCTGCAGAAATAAACATAAATAATTGCACTGTACAATGATTTGTCACAGTTTTTTACCTAAATTATTAAAAACAGAAACAAACTTGGATTCAACTTGTTGGATTTTTTGAACTAAGTCCTTTAAGAAAATTGTTGGAAGGGGTAACCATATCTAAAGGCATAGGAAGACATACATTTCTCATGCAGTCAACAGATATTTATTGTGCACCTACTATGTGTAAAACACATGGTAAGTGCTGTAGGACAAAGACACGAGAGATACTTGTCATCAAGGAACACACAGTTCACCCAAAGAGTCAACACACATTCAACTAAAAAACAAGGAAAGAATAAGAACCATTAAAAAATAATAGTACTAGAGACAAATTATTGTAAATGCACTAAGTGGTAGTCACTTCAGTGATGCACAGAATGGACTTTGAGAACCCACAGCACTGGGAGTGGGTTCATGCAGGATCTGTTTCCTAGAAGATGTGGCATTTGAGCTGGCATTTTAAGGACAGGGAACATTTCATCGGGCAGCATTGAAGAAAAGGCCTGCTGGGATGAGGCACCATGGAAAAAAGAGCCAGGGGCAGGAATGGATACGGCAAGTTTTCTCAGCCCTGGCTCTATTGATATTTATAGCAGATAATTATCTGTTGTGGGGGCTGTCCTGTGCACTGCAAGATGTTTAGCAGCATCCTCGGTCTCTACTTGCTAAAGGCCAGTACTGCAAGCATGGACACACACACACACACACACACACACACTTGTAACAACCAAAAATGTTGCCCAAGAGCTGAGGACAATTTGTGTATGGCCAATGTGCTCAAAAAACATCAATAAATTGTGTTTAACTGTGTAAACTAGCACACAAGGGAGAATGGACGAAAATAAAATCTGAAACTTACGCAACGCCCGGAGCACACAGATTCTCAAATGCCAAGCTAAAGGGTACAAGTTAGAGATCCCTAAAGAGTCTTCATCAAACACAGAGAAACCCTTTAGAAAAGCAAGTCTGCCACCAGTAGGGTTGGATTAAAGAACAAGGAAGACAAATTGGAAGAAAAAAATACGTTCAATCATTTTCTTTAGCAAAATACATTAACATAATCTATGCCCTTAAAATAGTAATATGAATATTCAAATTCATAGTAAGGGAGGTGCCATCAATTAATGGTGAAAAGATTGCAGGTTGTTTTAAATGCAAATGTAGTTACTACTACTATTACACACATGCGGTATTACTATTTAATAGGAACAATATAAGTGGAGACAGTATTTTACTTAAATTCGAAGTGTGAGAAGTAATTTCTTGAAGACAATAGCTAGAGAAGACTACAAAATTGGCCAGGGTTCTCCATCCTCCCTGTCCTGCGTCTTTACAGTTTCTCCCAGCTAGAGTTGGAGTCTATCTCCCCACCTAGTAAATCTGGGCTGGGCTTGTAACTTGTTTTGACCCCACAGAAACAAGCCTAGCTAGGCAGGAAAAGATCTTGTGTGCTTCCACTCACTCTCTAGAAACACTGTTGCTACCCTGTAAACAAGCCCAGGCAAATTAACTGAATGGAGAGAAACAAGTGGCCCAGACACCCCCCAAGGTACAACCAGTCCACCCTCAGAATCAGAGCCACTCAGCTGACCTGCAGGTGACTGCAGTAACCTAAGAGACCCCAGCCAAGATCAGCCCCATCTGCTGAGGCATGGGAACAGGAGTCCAATAAACGGTATTTCTTTAAACCACTGAATTGGGGTGGTTTGCTACATAATAGAAGTTATCTGGTACACTGGACAAGAATCCTTACTTTTCAGATTGAGTACAGAAGTCAGAGAGAATTATCCTAATGCCTTGATACAAGGCATAACTTCCAATAGAAAAAATCAAGAATTTCATTTCCACACACCAAGCAGTGTTGTAACAGATGTAGCCATCAGCAGTTAACTCTCCTAAACATTTTTGTTGTTGTTATTCAGTAGTGAAATCATCCAACATATTGGTTCTCAACTTTGGAGGTAATAGCCTGAGAATCTAAGGAAAGTTACACAATCTCTCCTGGGGTGAGGAGTGGCACCTCCACGTTTTGTTGCCATGGTAGATTGCAAAGGTGGTCACAGGCTTTGCACCTCCTCCCATTAAGAAGTCTATTTTTCCACCCTTCGACTTGCTTTGGCCAATAGAAGAGTGTAAACCACACTGTATAGCTATAAAGTCCCAATCAGTACTCACAAAGAGGCTCTACAGATACTTCTGCTCACTCTGTGAGGTCCACTGTAACTACTTCCACCTAAGTCTGGGCTGTCTTGTTGGAGAATGAAAGATAATGTGGATCAGAGATCAGCCATCCCACCTGAGCAACCTCGGACCATCATGCCCTCTGCTCACCTGGCAGCTGACCGGCAACAGGTGACTGAACCCAGCAGCGATCAGCCACACCAGCACATGAACCCACCCAGTGCTCCCAGCCCAAATTGCTGACCCACAGAATCATAAACTAAACGAACATTTTTTTTGTCTTAAGTCACTGTGTTTTGGGATGGTGGGTTATATAGCAAAAGCCGACTGATACAGAGGCCTGCCATTTCCTATGACTATTGAAACCACAGAAGCCCACACGTAGATCCACATTTTAAAATACCTATTTGAAAATCCCTTTGGCTTGGAGAGTTAGACCCGAAATCTCTTTAATCCGAACCAGTTCTCACTCATTCAGGTTTTACTGGTTCTATTTTCAGAAACCAAAATGTCTAATAGAAGGAGTAGTGTTTCTACTTTCAAGAACAGAAACTAGTGACATGAATATATCTTGTTTGAAAAGACAACATATGGGATCATTTTCAACAGGAGTCACAGGTAAGAGTCATCATTCGTTTCTGCTTTTCCTGAATTTCCCAGTGGTGTTTAGCTGTTTTGAACATTAAGTATAAATACACACATAGCATTAGCTGTTTAGGCCACTCAATTATATTTCAGAGGTCAGTCAAGGAACAAATATTGTTTGTTGAGCATCTACTATGTGCAGGGACATGACTGGTACTTGGGATAGAAAGATAAAAAAGAGACGTGATTTCTACAGGGCACCTGGCCTCATTCCAGGGTTACAGGGTTATTTCCTTTAGGTGCGGGAAGCTAAATATAAATACTCAAGCTTCTATTTCTGGTAAGATGACTATTCAAATTCAACTCTGATGCACTCCCTATGCTCTGAATACAAATCAAGGATAGATTAAATATCAAAATATGTACTCCTTATGCCTTCAATATGTAGCAAGGATAGATTAAATATCAAAAAAAGAAAACCAGAAAGATAAGCAATGCTCAAAACCAGAATAAACATTTTTGTGAACCTGAAAATGAACAGAGACACAACATGATGAACAAGGTTGAGGCCTCAGGCCTGCTGGGCTTCTTGCCTGCACACAGGCTATGACAGCCAGCAGTCTGGTTCCTGCTGAATACAAATCGATCTAAAATAGTGCTCCATGAGACCAGAGTCTGGGTTCAAGTTCTGCTTACAGCTGGGGATGGAAAAGCAAATGAGGCTGGAAAAAAAAATTCGGATGTAAATCTCTGTCTGATGCTACCACATGTGGCAATCTGCAGGCCCAAGGAGACTGAAGGACAAAGAATAAGTCAAGTCACACCTCCTCCCCACTCCAGCTCTGTGACTGGATCCAGATATCCTCAGTATCACCACAGAACGGAAACCACAGTTTTGTACTGGGGCCTTGGAAAGCTGGGTGGAAGAAGCCACAATCACTAGACAGAAGTGAGCACAAAAGAGGTTAAAATTAAAATTCATCCTAGATCTAAATTCTAAGGCACATGAATAAAATATAACACCAAGAAAGAGAGCCAACAAAATCACATAACATAACATAACATAACATAACATAACATAACATAACATAACGTAACATGAATTCACTTCTAGTGAAAACGATTTTATGAAACAATGTAATAAAGACTTTTTAATGTGTGTTTAGGATATTATTAAAATGATAAAGGAATAACTTCTATTAATGAAGAGCAAGCAATTATACAAAAGGACAGAAATTTTAAAGATAGACATAAAACATTAGAAACGAAAAGTATTATATAGCCGGGCACGGTGGCTCGCACCTGTAATCCCAGCACTTTGAGAGGCCGAGGTGGGCAGATCATGAGGTCAGGAGATCGAGACCATCCTGGCTAACACAGTGAAACCCCATCTCCACTAAAAATACAAAAAATTAGCCGGGCATAGTGGCAGGCGCCTGTAGTCCCAGCTACCTGGGAGGCTGAGGCAGGAGAATGGCGTGAACCCGGGAGGCCGAGCTTGCAGTGAGCCGAGATCGCGTCACTGCACTCCAGCCTGGGTGGCAGAGCAAGACTCCGTCTTAAAAAAAAAAAAAAAAGTATTACATAGTCATAAAAATGAAAAACCCAATAGATGGGACAAACTCCAGCCTGGGCACAATCAGGAAAGAACTGGCAAGCTAGAAAATATTAAGGAATTTACTCAAAGAACATAAACAGAGACGAAGAGTTTTTTTAATGAAATATCAGTTAATCGATATGAAGGATAAGTGAGAGATTCCAAGATATATCCAACAGGCACTCCAGAAAAAAGAACAGAATACAGGAGCATCAGTATTTACGAGTAACATGGCTCTTTTCTCTTCTGTAATTGAAGGAAGTTAGGAGTCTACAGTTCGGAAGTACACTCAAGTACCATGCAAGATGAATATTAAATCACACCCAGACACAGCAAAATCTCAAGAATAAACAATCCTAAAACTATCACAGGGGCAAAAAACATCCAGAGCAACAATAAGACTGACAGCAGATTTCTCTTCTGCAACAGCAGATGCCAGGGACAATGAAGGAACGGCGTCAAAGTGCTAAAAAGAAATCAGCTAGGCACAGGATTACAGATCATGCCTATAATCACAGCACTTTGGGAGGCTGAGGCAGGTGGATCACCTGAGGTCAGGTGTTCGAGACCAGCCTGGCCAACATGGTGAAACCCTGTCTCTACT